TCCAAAATCTTACTAAATACTCGTTGAATATTAACCAAAAACGTCAATGACATCCATTAGAGCGTCTCCCGTAGCTTATAATTTTTTGATCAAAGGTAAATTTGTTAAAGTGAAGGTTCAAAGTAATATAATGAGTGTAATCTAGATCCTAATCTAAGGCGCGTCATCGGAGCGGGATCAATCGAGCCGTGAACGAGATGAGAAAATAAGGAAATGCCTACCAAAGCGCGCCAGATTAAATACTGTGAGGAAACACGTCGACGCTTTTTAATTTTCCACTCAGACGCCTCCGGGATGAGGCGGGATGTGATTATGACAACTATTGATGTTCTTCTCTTCTACCTGGCAATTTCCCAGCTATAGCCAGAGTCTGCCTTACACGTTGTGAATAGTTTTGTCTATTTTGTTTTTACAACCGGCCGCCTGTTTGACATCAATCCTCTTTTTGGGAATAACAATTGAATTTGTAACAACTTTTCAATATGTATCTTTGAGATGGCGATGTGTTTAAAAGAGATTCATTGTAATAAGCTACGTCTGCTGAGTAAGTTTAAAAGATAAAAGGTCTATATTTATATGAAAGAAATAATTGAGTCTATAAGAAGTATTTGTAATTCCAGTTCATTACAAGTTAAGACCTCGTACCCTGATGCGTACATGAAAGAATAGTTAATTTTTTTAAAACCATTTTACAAATACTATAAACACGATATAGTCATTCAACATTTGAGAACAAAATTCAATAGTTTGATTACGCCTGGTTCTTGCTTGAACACTCTTTTTTATTCAACGTTTCAGAGCTGAAATTGAAACCAATATTTCTAATGGCAGTCAGAAAAATAAGATCAGTTCAGATTTCAATCTATCACTTTAATGTAAATAACACATCAAATTATTCGCAAATTGCATCTAAACTCATTGCAATTACATTTTCGAAAAGAAGATCTATGTAATTTAAAGGGGAATAAACTTCAATTACTTCTTCTGGATGACTTGATGGAAGTAGAATGGAACGGAATAACTAAAGCAGAGGAATTCTAGAGAAAACCCGTTCGACCAGTTTACAAAGAAGCGATGCTACTTTTAACATTTTAATTGTGTTGATCAAATACAGACAAAGTATCGTGATTTGCGAGATTTTAACGAGCAGCAAGTTACATAAAAATTCATTATCTATTTCAACAATCTTATACTATAGTATTTAATTATAATTTTATCCGTAGAAAGATACAGCAACGCTTTTTCTAACAAATATTTTAAACTAATTATATTATCTCACGATATTTCTACAGTAAGAATTATCATGAATAAATCACAACAAGCTTCGTTATTATAGAGTAACAAATAAAAAGTAAAGCAAACAAGCAAATTAATTACTCTGTGGCTAATGAATTGGCTGTCGAGAAGAAACAGATCAGTCTTGGATGCTTTCATAATGTAACAGTGTGTATTATAAACGAGCAGAGTAGGGGAGGTTAACTAGTTATACACAGTCTAATCATCATCTTTATTAGAATTAAAATTTACGTAGGTATGTATTTTCGACTTTTAGAAGCCTCTGGATAGTTTTAAAGAAAACAAATAATACACCTTTTTTCCTTATGAATGATTATTTTAACAACATTTTATATCTCAAACATAAACAAGGTTATCGAATGATAACTTTGTTATTATTTAAAACAAAATTTTAAGACGTCACCCATGTGAGTGGCGCTACAATGACAATCTTAATATGTATACCTATATTTATGATTCTAACAAAATTATTAAAAAATAGATATAATTTTCTTATAAAGCCAGTACTTTTAAATAACTAATGGAACCTTAACTAGAGCAAACTGATTATCTAAAACCAAAACACCTTCAATAAGGTAAATTCAATTTACAAAGACACAAGTCGGATCCACAAAATACTTTCCCCCGTAAAAGTGAACAAACCAAACGTCATCGCTTTAACATAACTATCGGTGCGTTCGTGAATTTAAAGGTTCGGTTCAAATTAAATGTGTGTTCCCTAAATGTATATTATATTTTCAATAACTTGTTACTACTATAATCTGTGGCATATCTTTATATATTCAATGTTGCCTCAGCTATAGTTTGTTTCGCGATGAGAGAAGTTTGCAAACTCATCAATTTCATATGTCATAACTCATATGATATGCTCTATACAACTATTTTCCCGAACAATCATACATTTTCAAAAAAATATAAGTATAAAAAGCTTTTTATATCTCGCATAATCACAGTTAATTAAGTTTTTTTTTTTTGTTGATTTTAAAATATTCCTTAATTATATTATAAATTATGGATGATAATAAGATAGATAACGTACTAATGAATATAATTATTATTAATTAAAATAAAAAATTACAAGATCTTTAAGATTTCAATGGATTATATTAATCTTCTATATATATAAAAATGAATTGCTGTTCCTTAGTCTCGCTAAAACTCGAGAACGGCTAAACCGATTTGGCTAATTTTAGTCTTGAAATACTCCTGGAAGTCCAGGAAAGGTTTAAAAGGTGAGAAACATTGGAATAATTGCCGGGAAAACCCTAAAAACAGCCCTTTTCTATTTCCCATACAAACGTTTTTTTTGACATTAGATTTGACAACTAACTAATATGTCAATTCTGTTTGATTGAAACAGGAAAAACCTGATTATTTATGGCCTGTAAGACAGAATAGAGTTCGACTGGTCAGCTATACCTACATATATTACTCTTGACCAAACTAACGCGGACAAAGTCGCGGGCAAAAACTAGTTTTCAATAAATTATTATCATACCGGCTTGCAAGGGTTATAAGAATACAGGGAGTATTGAACCTAGTATTTGAAGGGTAAAGGCCTGTTTCAGACATCTCTTTATTTTATCTCTGTTTTTGTCAATTTTCGTCAAGTTTAATCCGCCTATAGTTATGATATCTTTATCCCAAGAAGTCACAAATACATGATACAGTCCAAATTTTTCTTTAAATTCATAGGCATTTCTTTCAGTACTTCTCTTAAATTCTTATTTTTTCTAAAATGAAATTAAGAGCTCTCTTATACGGCTTTTTAATTTTATTTTAACGTACTAAATTATAACAGCCTAGTGTTGTTGCCTTGCTAGCAATTCTATCAGCTCCTGGTCATTTTTGCACCTTCTGTCGTTTTAGTCTGTCTATAACTTTCAAGTCCTCTATCTTTTTTACGTATCAATCGTTTTCTGAAAGTATTTGTGCACTGGTTTCCAATTTTGAATTATTTTCGTATCTTTTTTCTTTGAAAATCATATACTTACCTATTCTAAATATAATATGGTGTACATAATACTTTGGTTGTCGACTAATTGAAGCATATTATGTATCGGTAGGAATCTTTAAAATGTTGTCTATCTCATATGTTTTTTTTATTTTAAGAAATCTACATATCCTGTCATAGATTATTTGAGTTTTATCTAAGTAACCCTGAGCTAAAAGCATATTTCTCCTGCTCCTTGTTTTGTTGTATCACTTATATTTTCCCGTAAACAGACGTAATGTAAATAAATTGACATATTCCTTGATAATGTTTTAATAAAGATAATGTTCACACACAAACTGAGGAATGTTAGAGATAAAAAAATTCTAACAACTTCAGGTTTTTTAAGTGCTATCGCAAGGTAACAGTCACAAAAACACATATTATTAATTAATTCATAATTTATTTTATTTAAGAGGATATTTCCTAGCAATTTTAATACAAACGCGTTTATTATAATCATGACATTAAGTACATTAGTAGGTTTTAAATTTAGTTTTAAATTATTATTATTTCCAACTTTGTAGACGAGGCTAATCTTATTCAATTAAGCGCCATCTCTGGACGTTATAATAAACCAAGTAACCTAGCCTATCTATGGGCCTGATATTGTCAATGGAAATTGGAAGTGTAGAATAAAATTGATGTACCTAATAAACGAAATTTAAAAAATTATGTATAGAAAAAATAATTTATATTTCTAATGATATGTAATCTATATATTGTTCATAAATAAAGCAATAAAAAATATCATGTTTTATCTATAAGAGCTAAGTTTTTATTTCCGTCCACTGTAGGAAGTTGCTCTCGAAACTCATCTCTCATTTGTCATTTTCACGCCGGTCCCAACGGTTTTATCGGGCGTTGTATATTGGTTTCACACAGCAATTTTTTAAATGTAAGTATTATTATAACATTTTTAAACCTCTATTATTAATAAAATACTTGTCTTTGTATTTATTCTCATATTTTTTGAAATTTAGACAATATTATGAATTGCCATTGTCTCTACCGGCTGTTTGGATTCATCTAGAAAATGTATATAACAATAAATGATAACCACGGTTACCGCTAACCACAAGATAAATTACAGTTATGGCGTTCAGTTCACTACGTTTCGATATTATTCTATGCATGCCTTCATATTTTCTAGCAGCTACTTAGTTTGTTCAAAATTGTTAGAAATATCGCGTTAACCAAAATAATCATAGTTAAAGGTTAAGATGATGCAAGAAATGAATAGAAAACGAGAGCGCAGTGAATCGGGGAATGAAATAAATGAAAATATCGCTAAAAAATTATTAGTTGACAGGTCAGTGAGGTGCATGAAATTTTTTCAGTACTTCGGTGACGGGATTTAGATCGTTGGCAGATAGTAGGAAATGTATGGTTTCGTTAATACAGATGCTTAGTAACACAATACAATATATTCTTATGCATTTTCGACTATTGCATTTTTACAATGCTACCCACTTCTCTCAATGTTGACTGCGTGTTAAGAAAATTATTCCAATCCTATATAGAAGCGGAAAAATTCAATCCTATTATTGAGCTTATGAATGTTACGATTTTCCGTTTAATTATTAAAGAATTCCACTGGTTTTTTTAAGCATGAATCATGCACTAGGCCTCTTTACAAGATTGACTACATTTTTTTACTGTAGTTTTAAAATCTTAATTAATATATTAATTTAAAGTTATCAAAGTGACCATGTCTATGGAGCACAAGTGCTATTGCCGAGGTGATGAGGCCAGCAGTCTCGACCTCAGCCGTCCCGAACATCTCTTACCCATGATGAGACCGTTTTCTATGAGGTTAAAATTATTTCATAGTCCTTTTAATATTGGTCAAGTAGTTCTATTTATTTTAGTTTGTTTTGCTTAGATTGATTATTTATAGACTTACAGTATAATTATATTACTTAAAGTATAATTGTTGAAGTAGGTTAATATAAGCAGGTAATTAATATTTATAGTTGTATGGAGATTTTGCTTATATAACAAGTGAGTAATACAAACATTGTGCAATTGTTCTGTGTTGTATTCAAATTATGAGTTAATTGGTAAATACAATTCATCATTCTATAGGTTTTTGATATGTAGTGTTTTTTGTAATAAATACTCCTTATATAAAATATTCCTTTGTTAATTTTTTTTTATATATGTGTGTTTGTCTGTTTGGTTGTGTGTGTGTAAATTGCACAATATTATACAACAGTGTATGTACTGACCTTATATCACATAGTTAGTATTAAAGGAACTATTATTGATTTTTCCACTTCACCGATTGTTTTGAAGGTCATAATACTAAAGCAGTACATTTTTTCATACTCGGTCAGTCAAGATAGATGTTGAATACATTAATGTTTTTTATGAAACTATTTTTAATAACAATTTAATAATATCAGTTATATATTAACCAAATTAAGAAACAAAGATTCTTATAAGGCATTTGGCAACTTGGTAGACATACTTAGAATTTAATTATTATTTTTTTGTTAATTAAACATTATATTATGGTACATTAATACTATTTTGTACATGGAATACTCGAGACTTTCACTATTTAGTGTAGATATTAAACTCATACTAAGGGATAATACATGCTATGGTTAATGGGTTTGCTTGTACTTATATTCCTATTAGTGTACATTAAGCATTCTTCAAGCATATTAATATATAGTGACCTTGCTTTGAATTCTATATGATCACTCTGTTGACTTTTATTATAATATACATATTTATAGAGGAATTAACAAAGAATTCGGGAATACTATAAATATAACTGCATTTACTTAAGTTTTAATATGTAATCATTGTTTGTATTGAAATCCTTATTTAAATAGTGTGGTTTTAATATTATACACAAACATACACGCGGCTCACGTACGAGATATCTATTGATAACAATCTCGAGAGCCGCAATTATTTTAAAGTGTCGAAAAAGTGATAAAACATGAATTGGGTGATAGGCTCGTGTCCATCACGTACTTTGTGACTAATCTTTAATGACAACTGATAGGTTTAGGAAATACTTGAATTATATACATAAATACTGAAAAAAAATATGTATAGCTATGGCTTGAATATTATCGTAAAATTTCGATGATTTTTAATAGGCGGATTATTAGATAGTTTGAAAGAACAATCTAGATATTTACGTGTTTAAGAGTTGAATTGCAGTGCTAAGTTAATAAAATTTCATTGTACTTAAAAGAATTTCTTTCTCACGAATTTTAACAATATAAATAATGCTTGAAAACAATAGAATAAATTAAATGTTGAAGTGAAAATTCCCAGGGTCAGTAACCTGGAGGCGATTGTAACTAACATGTTCAACTGCGGGGTACTAACTGACTTGTTGTATAACGGTGACGGGGCCTTACTCGTGAGGATATGGAGATCCACCGAAAATATGACCACCTCTGTACAAGTTATGAGAAATAATTATATATTAGGAACTAGGTTGGTGTACGTACGTGATAATGATTTATAGAAAGTTATTGAGAAATTAACCGATTGAGAAATTTGGGAGGTTGTTTTAGAAAGTATTCAAGGTCGATTTAGATTGTAACGTAGCTGGAATGTAGTGTGTAGCGTTGAGCTTAGAGAATAGAAGAGAGATTTATTAATATGTTAACACTACGTATATTTTAAGATGGAGTGAGAATCCTTACTTAGGACATTACTGAACCCGTCCGGAAAAAAATTGCTAGACATTTGAAAATCATTAAAAAATCATATCTCTCCTTCCAAGAAATGTTGTGTTTTGTTCACTATATATAATTATGATTAGTATTGAATATAAATGTAACGATTGTATATTAAATTGTTCTGACCATCGACGACTTATGAGACGTGTTACAACACATTTGTATGATTATATTGTTTTTGTGACGTTGAAGGTCTGTGGATATCAGAAGTAATAACATTTGATATGTAATATAAAGTTCTACGAGTTCATTTTTATTCTATGCTACATGTGTCTAATATTTTTTTCGGCGGATCTGCGCGATAGTTTTTTGTTTATTATTTATATTAATAAGTTTTCTTAACAAATAAATCTAACACAAGTTACTCGTTACATTAGCTGTCTGTGCATTAAAGTTGCGTCGAAAACAGTCAAGCAGTTTTAAAGATAAATCGGAATACACATAGAGACGTATTTGTTATTATTTTTTAGTCATAGTTTACACCACGTTACATACATTGACAATTGCTCATTCATAAATATTGACATCAATTACTGAAGAAAAGGCAAGCTTTTCGTATATATGTACAATGAAATGGAAAGTAAATTATTATTATTAGTTAGTATTTGTTGTTTACATTAATATTAAGAGTTCACAGTTGATAAGATAGTTGTATTATCACGAGATGAATGATCCGCCGACAATATCTTAGTACCTACAGATGACAGTTACATAATGTATTGAAATTATATTACATATTATTAAATAAGTACTTATGCTATTTATACATTATCTATTACATGTGACCGAGATTTTGTACACGTTTGACATTTAAACAACGTATGTATGATGTACAGTTTCAGACTTATCGTTTTGAAACAAGTTGATACTTAAATGTCGCTATTACAAAATTACGATAGTTCAGTATTATGATCAATTATAATCAGACATAAAAAATAATTTTAAGGATTATAGTGTATTATAACTAGTACGGCACAGAATGCGCTACTAGTTCCATATATTTCACGACCTATTTGCTAGTGAAAGTCCTATCGTAATCGATGCGAACCAAAAATATAGTCTTATTTATTAATTAGTTTTTGTATTTCAAAATTCCAGTTTCAACAAGATGCCCCTCCAGCTGACCAAACAAGCTCCTCAATGGAAGACCACAGCCGTCGTCAACGGAGAGTTTAAAGACATTGCTCTGTCTGACTACAAGGGGAAATATGTAGTACTGTTCTTCTACCCACTGGACTTGTAAGTTGTTATATGATACATATAATAAAACAAATATGACAAACATTATGTCAACTAATTGATAATTTCTATGTTTAATTACTATGAAAAATGTTGATACTTAAACATTGAGTGTTAAGGAATATATTTTCTATATATATTTTACAACAAGAATCAGTATGCTTAACAAGTAACAATTTTACGACATACGTAGCGTTAACAGTTTTTCATTACAAATAATCTTGCATTATTTTGATGATTCCTACTCGGAGTACACTCTGATCCAAAAACTAGTTTTGGTAGCGTACATTGAAATTTCAACATACTAGTGTAAATTGTTCATGTCATTTAAAGGTTTCATAATAATTACGTATGACTCAATCATAAATATCTGTACTAAATAGAATAAATACATGTTGCATTCTTGACTTAATCAGTCATAAATGTAAAATCCTTTAACATACAACTTATGTAGTAATTATATGTATATTATAATGACAGTACACAGGATTAGTATACAATTATACAACGGATTACTATAGTTGGAACAGATTGAGAAGATTGTATGTTATCAGTGATTATACTTGTGTCATTCAGTTATTAACACCTGACAGCTATTTGATGCAAGGGAAGTCATTTTATTTAACAATTATTTTAAATGGTCAGATATTGTCTTCTCGTATTATATTATTTTTATTATATTCATTTTAAATCTCAGAAGTCTTAAAACATATGTAGTACTAGCTTTCCGCCCGCAGCTTCGCCCGCGTGGACTTCTGTTATATCTCGTTTCCAAGAGAACCATTCAAAAGTCTGGGATAAAAACTATCCCATGTTCTTTCTCAAGGTCAACTCTATCGCTGTACCAAATTTCATTAAAATCAGTTCAGTGGTTTAGGGGTGAAAGCGTAATAGACAGGGAGTTACTTTCGCATTTATAATATTAGTAGGGATTGTCATTTCTACTGCATCACATCCAGATCGCTCCTGAACGTAATAACTTATACTTAATCCTTAATTTACCATTAATCAGCGCCATCTATCGGCATGATAAATAATTTAAAACTCAATTATAATGTTGAACCCAAATATATATGTGTATATTTGTCCGTCAGTACGTTCGTGTGTCCCACCGAGATCATCGCGTTCTCTGAGCGTGCGGACGAGTTCCGTAAGCTGGGCTGTGAGGTGATCGCTGCCTCCACTGATTCTCACTTCACTCATCTCGCGTGGATCAACACGCCGAGGAAGCAGGGCGGCCTGGGACCCATGAACATACCCATCATCAGCGACAAGTCGCACCGCATCGCACGGGACTACGGAGTACTGAACGAGGAGTCCGGGATACCCTTCAGAGGACTCTTCATCATCGATGACAAACAGAACCTGAGACAGGTCACGGTCAATGACCTGCCCGTGGGAAGGTGAGGATGAATTGATGATTGGTTGAGTGACGAATGGTGATAGTGACTGCTAACTCCACGAAATTTAGGACTATATAACATGTCTTCCAATATAACTTTTATGTAGGCAGTCTTTATTATTAGTAGGCATTAAAAAAGATGAGACAACATTGTAATATTGATATACAGGGTGACTGATGAATTACTATCAATATTTAAGGAGAATACTCGGTACATGATTCTCATTCCAGTTATGTAAAAAAAATAGGTACTTAATTTTTGACCAAATTTCCGTATAAATAAATAAAGCGTGGACGCGTGTGGCGGAGTGCTGATACAACACTACGCCGCCACACCTGTTTGTGTGCGTGTGTGTATACCTAATCTTTAGGGTGTTCACACGATGCGTAATTAATTACATAACTTTTGGTTAACTTTACTTAGAAGTTTATTAATATTTATGTTATATTAATTTTTATTTTGTCATATATGATCGTCAAATATCACGTCCTCAAGTATCGATAGTAATTCACCAGTCACCCTGTATAATTGAAGTATGTAATTGTTGTAATACATGATAGATTATAATCACTAAGGCCAGCCGTACACGGACTGCTTCAAGCAGTTATGACCGACTGTGTCTAAAACCACGACCGCGCGGTGAACTATAGCTATCCATTCGCTGCCGTACATACGACTGCTCGAGCAGTCCCGACCGCTTCAAGCCGTCATACATCATACATGATAAAATTCCGTCGTGTTGTCAACCGCTATAGAGCAGTCGAGGGCTTATTTTAGACCTTAGTATATTATTTATTTCATCAAACAAAGACACTGACATCCTAAAATAGTTGAAAATTTTTTCTTCATCACTTAATCTAAGTTCAATGATGGAATTGTCCATGTTGTTCTCTTAATTCCAAAATTGGATGAACCCAAAATTTTCTCTTTTGACGTCACCTCCGCTTGAGCAGAAGCAGCAAAAGCAGTGTTTCCTCGTCAGAATACACGCGGTAGAAATTAAACTGTTCAAGCAGTCAACGCAGACTGCTCGAGCGGTCCGTGTACGGCTGGCCTTAGAGCAGTTATGTCTGTGATGTATATCTACATGTATCCAATCCATATTGGATGTATTATTAAAATGCCACACTTGCCAAAACAACATATTTCTCTTCCACATTTGTCTCACAATACTTATCACAAATATTATATATTACTTCCAGATCAGTAGACGAGACTCTCCGCTTGGTCCAAGCGTTCCAGTTCACTGACAAGCATGGTGAAGTGTGTCCGGCAAACTGGAGGCCGGGCGGCAAGACCATCAAGCCTGACAGCAAGGCTGCCCAGGAGTACTTTGGAGACGTCAACTAAACACTCAACTGTAACCAGTTGTAGCCGGCTGTAACTGGCTAACACCATCATAACCAACCGGCTACTCTTAGCCATTTAATGGAAATAGTTAATTTATGAACCCTTCAATATGTGATAATTGTTTGTATGTAGTGTTGTATGCGAATCTCCAGCAGTGCATATGACTTGTGTTTCACAGTACAGGAGTCACATCCAACAGTACTGAGGCTGTTATTAAATATATGTTGTGCCCGAGATGAGAGTTTTATTTATTACCAACATTTAGCTTTGTAATAGATATAAAGTGACTGATAATATAATATATTGCTTTTTCACTACATAGTTCCAACAAGAAATTAAGTTTGACCTGTGGAACAGCTCTCATTACTTAACAAATCCACTAAAAATGTTTCCTTGTGTATTTTATAACCTGTTCACAATTGTTTTCTAATTAAAATATTTTTTTCCTCTTTGTGTAAATTATATCATTAAATATTATTAATAAATTTGATGTTATATTTTCATTTTCAATTAATTTTTGTCGCAAAATAGAGAATTAGATACGGTTGTATTAAAATGCACCGCGGTGTATAATAAACATTGGATTATTACGTCGTAACTTAAATTGAGAGTGACATGAGGGAAGTGTAAATGGTTCTAAGCGAAAATCTTAGTCACAAAGATTCTGGTCGCAGGCTTAAGACCCGTTCAGTCTTGCCTTGCGGCTTCTATATAATTTCAGGTTTTGTATGAAACTAGCACCACTTCTCGGAGAGAGAACTCAATTTATTACAAAGTCCTAAAAACTTGTACAAAATCAACCGACCATGAGAATATTATAATATGCCATAAATGTAACAAGTTTGTAGTGAGCTACACTGGCGCCATCTATTGGAATTATGAATGGATAACTATAATTATGCGTGTCAATTTATCATTAATTTGTACAAAAATATATAGATGGCAGTATTTGAAATAATTCATTTAAAAATTACAAATAAGTTAGTTTGCTTGTGTTAAGTTCTGATTAGGTATGTATAGAGAGGCGAGAGCTTGTATGTGTAATAATTTGTACCAGACTATGCCGGTAAAACTTTTTGAAGTGACACTTCTTTAAAATCATGGTGAATTCAAAGGCGATGAAAGGAAAACATAAAAAATTTTGTATGTGTTGATCGTTCATGAATTTTGATTTGTGTCAAAATTTTCATCTCTATTACTAACTAAAGCTGAAGAGAATCGTGAATACTAGCGGGGAAGAAATGAAAATAGAATTTAAAAAATACTTGTTGAAGAGTATTAATAATGATAAAATTGGAATCGATTTCAGTAATTCTGACTGTTTTTTATGTACTCATAAATATATAGTTATCATGAAGCGACTCTTCATGTTTTCAATACTTTCCAATAAGTTTTTTAATCGAAACTTTTCAGAAGATTCACTTCTACCATGTGTGGCTTACACACACACACAAACTTTTTTTAGTGATTGGGACACACGAACCCTCTTATTTTATGCCATTCGAGCCTAATAACTATAATAATAAATATTATTGAAATCGGATAGCAATAACTCGTGCCGACTTGATGTCAAACTTTGAATATAAAAGTTTGTATGGAAACCTTAGGAGACTATTAGGAATTAATATTTATTTTGTATATAACTTGTTATGAGTCATTAAACGTATTAATGATTATTATTTAAGGGACATTACTCATACGTGCTTTTTTGTGTTTTACACAAGGTAATAAGTATAGTTTTTGTTCTTCGTCTACTGTCATTAAGCCATGAAAGTCTTGCATCAACTTAACAGCTCTTTCAGTCGTATCAACAACTGCTTTCAGTGACTGCATCTTGAATCGATGCAACAACAGGGAGCGAAGCATAAGATGACCTGCAGACGAGGGGAGAATCATTTTAGATATCGTTTGACACATTTTATATAGACCAACTGACAGACACTCACATATATCCGGTCTGCCCGTGATCATGTTTGCTGAAAAGTAGCTGAGACATCGGGAACATGTAGTTTTTATCAAAATATTAGTTTCATTTGAACGAATAAAACTCTCGAAAATCTTAGATCTCATTTCATTTTATATTTTCGATGATTGTCTGTGCGTCATTCAGTTACCTTTCGTACTTACTACTGAGTGCTGGGTACGGGATGGCTGCTAGGAAATTACATACATAATAAATGGTCTGCACATTAGGTTGTCTCCGAAAAATTATACTGTTTGAACTGAAGCTTCTTACATTACACGATTTCGCTCGTGCGGGAAAAAATTGCCCGATTTTTAATCGTGGTTTTGCTACATTGAACGATAAAAATCGTATATTTTTATCAGTTCATTGGAACATTTGGTTTGGTCTGGATGAAAACTATGGATCGCGAACAAGTTATTGCGTTATGGATACTGTATCGGCGTCGGAAAAGACAAAGGCGCAATCGCCTTCACTGGATTCACCCAATTAATCAGAGACGAGAGGAAGTCGGGATGTTCCACGCATTATTTGAAGATCTTAGAAACGATGACCAAAAGTTTTTCAACTACTTTCGTATGTCAGTTCGCTCCTTTGATGAGTTACATGGGAAACTGAAGAGTAGAAACAATACTGGGGACAATTCCCGTACGACTAAAGACCGTCTAGAGTGAAAGCGTGCATTTGGTCACGTAGGCCACTAGGCTAGAGGACGATACGGTAGCCGTGCGGTTCTAGTGGCACTGGACGGCTGCAACACGATTACAAAACGTGCCCGTGTTCAAATCGTGCAATGTGAAAGGTCTCGTACTCTTCAATAGTCGATCAAGAAAAATTGCCCGGGCGATTTTTTCCCGCACGAGCGAAATCGTGTAATGTGAAAAGAGGGTTATGCAGCTTACAACAAGGTAGCGATTGTTTATGCGTTTTATTCGGAGGGAGAGAGAAAGAAAAATACACAAATGTAGATAGTAGGAGAGAGAAAGAGAGAGTCGGTAAACTTCAAACACATGTGCTCGGTAATGTTGTTATATAGTGTGAGTGACGTGAACTTAGCTGAAATACTTAGTGGTTCTATATCAATTTATTTACGATATTCATTACTTTTTTATTTTGTTTTGATACACATACTTACATATAATTAATTACGGAATAGTGGATAAGTGTCGTTTGCAACTCCACGCACTGTATTGTAGATGTTTGTCATTTAAACCGCCTAATGATAGCTTGTTTACTCAAATATTGAATTGAAAACGAGAAAAACTGAAAAAGTTAACAGCCGACAAAATCTGTCCTTGTAGAGATACCAGGAAGTACAAATATTCAGTCCTTATTAAATAATTTTGAAACAAAGACAAATACAAAGTAATCAAAGTTATAGTTAAAAATTTATGAAATAATAACGATTTGAGATAAAATAATTCATCATCATCATGTAATACAGTCCTTTAATAATGAACTATGTGATAACTATGTGCCATGTCCTGGTACATAGTTGGTAAAAAACGAAAAGCGTATAAGCTATTTTAAAAAGCCATACCTTTTCAAAACAAGTAAAACAAACCGTTTAACAAATGAAATCTGTTAACTTTCATATACCCTTTTGTCAATCTATATCTATAATACACATGAAGATTTTCTTCTTTTAATTTTTTAATGGCGAACTAGTTATCGGATTGTGTTGTCTTCTAGGAAATAAAGTATTGGATTAAACTTTTAATTTATTAAGACACCAATTGAAATAAACGTAACTGTAACATCTGTTATACATGTATTCCGCCCCTGACTACGTCTGGGAGAGTAAAATATCCCAATTCATTATTACTCTTGATTCTATTGAGACAATTATTTATAATAATATGTACTGTTTGTAAAAAAAAATACTTCAATAATCTTTACCAAATCAAACGTTATTGATAATTTCAAATCATTTTTTGTTGTGTCTAAACTGTCGTAAAAATGTAAGCCGTTAAGTGTTTGTTATAATAGTTACAAATACAATAGCGGCGTCCCTTTAAAGTTTTTATAGCTGATTGACAAACAAACTAAACTCTCAACACATGATGTGGCTTATATTACGATCTCTTGTTATCGCAAATACACAGTGCAGTTAAATGTAAAAAATAGTCAAACAAACGAACTTATTTAGTCTCAGTTTCATATTACTTGTTATTTATTGAATTCATCTAGTTATATGAGACTAAGTGTGCGTTATTTTAGGTTTAGATTAGTTTTAGGTCGTTCTGATTTAGTATTCCATTATTATAAATTCGGTTTTTCGTTTAATTTACTTTTCAGCAACAGTGATCACGTCGGGAGGATGTAGTTTTTAAAAAATATATAGCACGCGTAGTATATCCGAAAAATATTAGTTTCATTTAAATGAATAAAATTTAAGAAAGTTTTAGATCTTATTCTATTATTATATATTATATATAGTATTTAGTTACTTAATCTGTAGAGGGCACAGACTACAAAAGATGATTAGATATTAAGAACTTGTATATATTTGGTATTGTAGTTATTAAATTACAATTATTGGAAATTAAATAAAAATTGTGTTCGTTTATATTGAAAATTTATTATTAGATTAGATAATGGTATAAAAGTACAAAATAGTTTCTCGCATTCTAGTTTCTGTGTTCCTATGTTAATTGAAGTCGGTTTTTCTTAAAAATATGATGTTATTACACAATACATTAACGACTCGACGGCGGCACGAGCCGCCATTTCTGTTGTTTATAAAATTGACCAATCACAGATCAGGATTCAAGAGTCGTGTTACTCACTTCATAAATCATAAGTCACAAATCACAACTTAGTTGAGAGTCGCACGCGTCGTTGTTAAATTAAAACATAATATTAAATAATTACAATAATGGGATTAAACAAACACAGTGACTATGGAAGCGGGTCTTCATCAGAAACTGTGAGTATCATTAATATTCATCATTACTAAAATTACTGTTAATTTTATCTTATTAAACACTTTCTTGAAGGTAAACATAAAAATTATTATAATACCCCCATATTTTTTTGTGATAGTAACGATAAAAATGTTAACAATTTTAGTATGAGATACCTATATGTATTAATATAATTTATTTCCTTTTTTTTCTTAAATTTTACTTTTGTATACTCAGTCATATAATACGATATAGATTTATTCATAAAAATTAAGAGAAAGCTTCTGTATTCCATCTTAATTTTGCTATTTTTTTATTATTTCTTTTACTAGTGTGTTAGTATTATAATTTATAATATATATTAACAAAAATTTAATCGGATAAATGTTACTCCAAGTCGAACCCTTAAGTATCTACGGGCTTAAGATAACAGTTTTTTTGAAGTACTTGAACTATAGCTAGGGAAAGCCATATATGTACGTACATATAATAATTCAATAGAATGTATATGGTATTTTTGTTAACAATATTTCTACTCTTTAAGATGCCTAGACAAAAAACTTATTGTCGTAGTTAACGAATCCAATTTCAGAAACATATGATAGGAAACAAACAAGGACTATAATACATATTAAGTATATAAATAAATAATTATTAAAAGATAAAACTATCGTATAATTGTGTAAAGATTTAATATTTATTAACATTTTGAAGCGACTTCCACTAACATAAAAGTAACTTAGGCTGATTAAATGACTTCCAAAAGAAGGTTCTGAATTGGTCTTTATTACCAAGTAAGATTCTGATCATTGGATCTACGACTTTAATACAAACTCGTTAGATGACGCGTAGCTAAAAGAGATTTAATAACAGGCAAAACCGCTGACTATAGCTAGTCTAAAGCATATGTTGGTGCTTTCATTTTGAGGACATTTCAATTGAACTATATTACACGTGTCTGTATTATGAACTGTGATTACTTCAGAGCTCCTCAAAAGAATTTAATTTTCTTTTATTAGTTATATTTAGTATTCCGTGAATGTGTTATATATTTTGTTGAATCCCAATGGTTATTGTCCCAAGTTCACTCCGTGGGGCAGCCAGGACATGTGGCCGGAGTTCAGAGCTAGCCTGGAGAGAGAGGAGAGGCCGGCGAGGAGACGAACTAGCAGCTATACTGACGGTACGAACATTATGATATTAACATATACATATATAGTATCAGTTGTGGCCTAGTGGTTAAGGGCCCGCCTCTCATTGCCGAGGACGCGGGTTCGATCCTGGCCCGGAGCAAGTACCACTGTGTTTTTCCCGAGACATATGTACTTCCTTAGAGTATTTAGACACCACTGACTGATGAAGGAAAACATCGTGAGGAAACCTGGACTTATAATTTTACAATTATAAGTTTGAAATCGCCAACCAATCTTGAACAAGCGTGTTGTCTATTGCTCAAACCTTCTCCATTTGAGAAGAGGCCTTTGCTCAGCAGTGGGCTCTGATAGACTGATGACGATACATATGTATAAATATATTGCATGCTATAATGTTTTATATACCTTACTTTCGAATAAGCTAAGTACTAATTAGTTTGTGTTATTCAGTAATCGATGCCAAACTTTAATTCTAATTATTATTCACTTTAACACCGTCAATGTTATCGTTATAGTTAATCAGTTGATACTAAAGTTTCACTAACTCATTTGAACAATCCTTTTCTCATTCTCAATACATTCTTCAACATGTTAGTTGGTTCGGTTACCAGTTAGTATGACTTTCAGTTACAGACAATGCCGCATCAACATCTATTGTCATAAAACATAAGCATATTAAAACTAATTATTATAAATTACATTAAGAATATAACAATATAATGTAATATTGAATATTCTTCGTTCACAGAGCCTCGTTCGTTGGACATCATCATGCAGGAGTTCAGGATGAACGGTTTCGACTCGCCGTATGAGCCGGAGCAAACTCCCGACACCTACACCGGTCATTATACACACGTACATATTAAATCCGCTGTCTTTCCTCTGTTTTCTTCATATATTCATTATATCTTCCTTCACCAGGTCTCAGCGCGTCATGTCAGTACCTCCGACAACGCTCGTGGCCTGAAGCAGCCAGTGACAAGAGAGATCACGTCAAAGGTATGTAAGAAACGTTGAAAAGATTCGTGTGTTAATAATGAGTGAATGTAATGTGATTATGATCATTCAACTTGAGAGAGGGTTAAAAAAAACTATGACAATATATATTACTATTGAATAAATAAATCTTGAGATATGAGACTTTAAATAAAATAGTCATTTAAATAAAACTAATAGGTATTTTCGTATAACTACGCAATGAGAATTTTACTCCCGATTAAGTCTGCAAAGTAACCGAAAAGTCGCGAGTATGTAGATGTAAAAATAATAAAATAATCCTTATAACATTAGTTTCATTAAAATAAACCTTTGTATTTTGTTATTTAAACACATTCATACATTACAAGTAGTTTGTTCTCGTGTGTACAGTGCATCACCCGCCACGCCACGAGTCCCCGAGCGCCCACCAGCTGCAGGTGTTGAGTTCTCTGCCTAACGCGGTGCTGTACTCCTTACTGAGGGAGCTGGAACAGACTCGGGCGGGAGGAAAGAAACAAGAGGTCCGTATATACATTAACTGTACTGACGTACGAGGTATTATATCTTGAGATAGGTCCGACGATATGTTATATAAAAAAAAATTACTATACATATACTATGAGTTCAGACGAAAAAAACAGCTTGGAACGTGTAGGTACATGATATATAAAAAAATAGCACATGGAGTCCCTCCACGCGTAACAAGTTAAACTTCGTAATATGTAAATGAAAATAGGGACGAGTAGAAATAATTTTTTTGTGAAAGCATATTGTTTCTTTAAATCAGACTTTATAAGCATTGCATACAGCTAATTTACCTCTCGCTCCGTCTCTTCCTATTCCTCCCAGAAGCGTTAAAAATTTAACGCAACTTTGTTGGAAATTGCATTAGAATTTTCACTTCAAAAATATAAGTGAAACTAACCATAGTGTTATTTTCTTTATACTTTTAAATTCAATATTTTTGTTGGCTCGATTAATCTAATTAATACAATATAACGGTTTACATGTCTCCATATATTTATCTCGTGTGCGTCTGTAAAATGTGCGTCTGTAAATGTGTCAAAATGTTGCTTGGTTCGATGAATCTAAATAATACAATATAACGGTTTACATGTCTTAAGATCTGTATCTCGTGTGCGTCTGTATACTCAGTCGTCGTAAGGGCTCATGGGTGACAGAGACTTTGTTTTAAGGAGCTGGAGTGTCGTTTCTGTAAGAACAACGGCGAGCGCGCCTCGTTCTACCGCTCGCACCGACTGAGGTCCCGCGGCCGGGTGTCGTGCCCCGTGCTGCGGGCCTACACGTGCAGGCGCTGCGGGGCGCACGGGGACCACGCGCACACCATCAAGTACTGCCCGCTCGCCACCAACGACGGTAAACGACGACACTTATACGTTAAACCAGGGCTTACCATACTCATTTGTAACAATTAACACGCTCTTAACAGTTTGCCAGCACCTAAAGATACTTACCAATTTAAATGGTAGCCTAGTAACAGGTTATGATAAAGACACTATTTGGACATATGCAATTTGTGTTACAAAATGATAACGAAATAAAACGACCATAAAAGTAATGAGAGATATTTATGTAACTAGCTGACCACTGTGGATGTGCTTGATTTTCTTAGCAAAGCTTCTGAAACAGGGGCTTGAATTGTGTCTCTCATTTCTTTTTCTTCGTCTATTTTAGTCCTATATGTAATTTTGTTCTTTATTATGATCTCATACGACTAATAATTCCACTCGATGTCATTGATATCCAACGCTTCTGAGATATTGTTGCACAATTTCCTCAGCCCTGCCTTAAAATATAGTTAATTGTAGGCTAAGTCACGGGTGTAACTTACTATTGTATAATTTCAGAACGTTTAAAATCAGCCGCCATGATGCGCAGCGTGCGCATGGCGTCCGGTCGTCGCCGCGGTTTAGTTCCAGCGCCATCTAGTGACGCGCGGCCGGAGTACGTCGTGTTTGGAGAAACTACACCGAGCGCGCTTACAGATGGCGCTGATTATAATAACTATGAACTAGACCCTCTGTGGGAGGCACTTGAGAGGAAACTGATGTTTTAAATATTAACTTAAATTAAAAATTATTATTACCATTGAAGATGATTGAATCATGTTATCGCCGAGACGTTGGTAGATATTTTCTATACGTATTTTTATGTTGTTACGATACTCGACAGTATTTATCGTTTATTAAATATTTTGTTTCACATATTGACTTATATATTATGTGACTGACTTGAGTCCTCTCTATCGGATGTTTTTATCGAATCACATATAATTCTTATTTTCTTATCCGACATATTTCATGAAGAAACTAAGACTATCAATTTAATATTCACGTGTATACATCAAGTTTATATATACATAAATAATAAATCATTGATCAAATTATTTGACAATCATGTAGCGGACATTTATTTAAATCTAGGAATTGTACAAAGATACTATTTCAGTAAGCAATTATACAATTGTTAGTTGAAATAATACAAAATTCCATTAAAGAAATGAACAAAATGTGTCCTCCTACAAAATATTAATAGCAATGTTGCAATCATGTGTCATTGCGCTTGCTCTTGCTAAGGTCTGCATATTTTACTTGTTTGTAATAAAACAAATGAATAGTATTATTCAAGTTTATGTTTGATTTAATACAAAATAACTTTAAATATATTCTTTATTGTTGATTATATTAATGTGAGAAGTACATTTATTATTTTTGTTTTTGTTTAATGATACATTTGACATTCGGTGTTGGTGTATTTTGGGTTCAATAAACAAATTATTATTGATTTTCATGTTTTATTGAAATTTTAAGATTAAGTTTTTGTTACTCGTTTATTCGTGATAAAATTTCAAAGACATTATTTTTAATTGCATATATAATATTTATTATAATAATTATATGCAGTGTCCAAGTAGTAAGTAATTTCTACAGTATTTCAATTCCCACTAACTTTCATTGTCAACTTATTATTTGCAATAATTTTAAATATTCTCCACTCAGTAGAGTGTAGGGATCTGAAGTGTTCCTGATAGCATCACATTAACAGTTACTGATCTCAGTTCGACCAACTAGTTATTATTATTAATACCATGTATTATTTGCATGCGGCCTTAATAATAAATGACTAAAATAAAATTTATATGCCTCTTTATGTTTAACATGGATTTAATATTAGTAATGATAGTCATGCAACCAATACCTAATTCTGGAACTTAAAGGTTTTAGATGAATACAATAGTCCACAGTCTAAAAAGTCTACTATTACGTAATTCTTAGTAGGATAATGACATAGAGTAATAAAATAAGAAGTCAGTGGTGGCCTAGTGGTTAAAGGGCCCGCCTCTCGTTGCCGAGGGCGCGGGTTCGATCCTGGCCCGGGCGAGTACGAATGTGATTTTACCGAGTCATACGTACTTTCTAAGACTATTTAGACATCACTGATTAATGTTGTTTCCCAAAAGTGGGTTGATGTCAGGCAGGCGGTCGGTCGTAAAAACAAATAGCCAAAACTATTCACAACATGTAAGGCAGACCCTGGCTATAGCTGGGAAATTGCCAGGTAGAAGAAGAAGAAGTAATAAAATAAACATTAAATTCAGTATTATAAACTGGAGAGACCCAGGATGGTAGGAATAGACGTTGGATAATAGACTCTTCATCGGAGATCATCTCTTGGCTTTATAAGTGTGTCACATGCTTTATAATTTATGACGAAGAACTCTGATCTCAACACACTTGTAAGGGAAACTTGTCAAATTAATGAATTTTACTGCTTCACGTGATATTGTTACGGAATTAATATGGACAACGACCTAATAATTTCAAAGAGGAAGATTGGTTATACGTTTCGTTACACTGTTAACTTTGAAGCTTATCCTTTTATCAACTGAAAATCATTTCAATAATATGTCCATTAAGGTCACATCAGCAAAATATATTCCGTCTGTTTTGGGTCTGTACAGTCAAAAAGCAATAATATAGCAATCATTAAATAACGAATTCACAATTAATACTTTTAAAAGATCTATTCACACTATACTTATATTCAAGACGAATGTTACATTCAATAAGAGGAGATAGAATAGAATATAAAATCAGCAAGTCATTTACATCCTACTTTTAACTCGCACGTTAAAAAAACCGATTAAAACATATTAAAAAGATAGTAAAAGTTATCAAGTGTGTCAAAAACATGAGCGTCACGCGGCCGAATCTATAATATAAAAATGAATCGCAAATTGTGTTGGTAAGCGCATAACTCAACAACACCTGGACCAATTTGACCAATTCTTTTTTTTAAATGTTCGTTGAAGTCCAAGAATGGTTCTTACGGCGAGAAAAAATCGACTGATTGCCGGGAAAACCCTAAAAACAACCCTTTTCTTTTTCACATACAAACGTTTTCTAACTAAAACGAATCAATTTGAGCTTTATTGTTATCGCATAAAGTTCATATTCAATTACAAGCACTTACTGTTATCTAAGAAGTGCAGATGTGTTTCTAACGTCAAAAAGTAAATTTGCACTTTCTTACCGCTACACAAAGTTCAAATTCAATCATATCTATCAAAACAGTGTGCGTGTGTGCGTTGGAGCACAGAATACGTCGTTGGAGGATTTAATGTCGCGTTCAGAAACTAAAAAAAGTGATCGCGGACCCGACCAATTGAATAGTCACAAAATATAATAATAACCATCAGATTTGTTAGTTAGTTAGTTGTCTTAAAGAAAAGAGGGCGGGAATTGAAACGTTGACGCGGGCTTTTTGAAAATTTAATTTTTTTTAAATACCTAGTTTAATTTCTTTAAATACTATAATTTGTAAATTTTTGTTAAGTTTATTGTAAAGAAGTAAAACTTAGTCTGTATATAAGTGTTTATGTGGAGAGATGGTGAAAAAACGTAAAAAGAAAGATTCGGGAGAGTCCTTCCTTTAGGGTCGCTGATTATTGTCGACGATACCCTGAAGATGCGGAAGCCAAGTCTGAATTCATAGTATTTGTCGAAAGTACTAATGATGTCCCACTCGGTAATAGGGACATGATGTCGCTTAGTACTAGTTTTATACGCTCTGTGAAAGGTATACAATATTTTAAAAAAATATAAGGTCGGTGTTTATTTATTTATTTAGGACAACCAACATTTGTACATATGTGAAAATATATTTTATACAATTTAATAAACTTAATCTATGTACAAATCACACCGTTATCCACTACTTACTTAAACAATAGAAATATAAGAGATATTACAATACAATCTTACTAACTATAATAATTATGGTATAAGAGATATTGTAATGAATAATTAAAAAATAATAATAACAATATTAAATATATACATAACAAATATAAATACACATACATAATTACACACATACTCACATAATAAATATATAGTTTGATTTTATTGTTACTTTTAACTATTATTATTATTTACTTTCTCGGTACATAATGGCTTTAATTCTTTTTTTATACGCACCTATTGTTAACCCAAAAATGTCAGCATTATAAAATTCAGCATTGTACGTTGGGTCATTTGGTACAATGGTGCTCGCTTGCCAGCATTAGTTCGACATTTTTTCAATTTAAATAATCTAGGTGTTCGTGTATTACGAATGAAACTCGATAATTTCTTGGTACCTCACCAAGAAATCTATGTAGCTTAACAATTGAGGACAATTTAAATTTGAATTTCAAATATTGTATAAGGACATTGCACTCAACAGTTTTCTTCTCGATGCAAGACTCCTTAATTTATATTAATCGAGCAACTTAGCTTATGACAAATAAGAATGTGAAAATTTGTAATGTAATGAGCGCAAATACCGACGTTGCACATTTTCTATCTGATCAACATATTTATTGTAAATGGGGTTCCAGATTTGTAATGCATATTCAAGTTGTGGTCTGATTAAACTGGTATACAGATATATGAGCGTAGACGGCTTTTTAAAATCTTTAGTTGATCTCACCACATCATCATCAAAGTGTTGTTTTCCAACGTGCGAATTTGGCAAATGCCTTTTTAGAAAATACTACATATCTAAGGGAAAAACGACTTAAAGCTTCAATACCAGCAGGGGCCATCGAACTATCGGGAGTTATCTCTTCGGTTCCCACTCATCTATCCAATCACAAAATATATAAAGCAATATCAACAACAAAAAAAGTCATTTCTGTCCGACGCATAATGCGTCAAGTAAAAGGAGAAAATAACACCTTCACACTGCACCCTACTCAGAGCGTAGTAATAACTTCTGCATCTGCTACGTCACTGCCGGACTATGTTCACATTAAGATGTGGCGCCTGCCTGTCTCCACATATGTCCCACCTATAAAACAGTATTTTAAATGTTTACGCTATGATCATCTGGCTAAGTTTTGTAAAAATTCACCGCGATGCTCCATATGCACAGAGGGGCATTCTTTCAAAGAATGCAAGGTTAACATTGAAAAAGCTAAGAGCATTAATTGTAATGGCAATCACATTGCCATCTCTAGCCAGTGCCCTATAAGGCAAAAGAAAATCGCAAACAGTAAACCCAAGTCATATGCTGACACGTTAAAAGGTTCATTAAATTTTCCCTCCCTTAATAAAAAATTAAAGACCCAAGAAGTAATCCAAGCAATACTATAAAATACCGAAGCAATGACTCTATTAACAGAATCTATAGTAAAAGTTATAACTGTAAATAAAACTCAAAATATAAGTATTAGTTCACAATTTATTAGCTCAGCTATTAAAGAAACCATCCAGGATAAAAATAGCAAATCGTCACATTCAACCACCAAATATTAAATATTGTACAGTGGCATGCTTAAAGTCTGTTAAGAAACAGACTTGAGTTTCAAATTTTTTTTACCAAAATAATATAAATGTAAGTCTTATTTCAAAAACTTGGCTTTAAGCCTAACATTCAATTTAATTTGCGTTGTTATACCATTATTAGGAATGACTGCGGTAATGATCGTAATGGCGTAGCAATATTAATTAAAAATGGTATACATTTCTCTAAATTAGATACTTTTTTTGATGATTCGTTACAAAATGTAGT